TCGATTTTTTTTATAAGGGCAACAGTGTGAAAAAGGAATCGTGCTCACAGTGAATTTGAATCTTTCCGCAACCATAACCACTACGCTAAAATCACCCATATAGCTATGTCTTCAACATATTTATCTCTTGGTTACTTCATGGTAATAAATCAGTTACAATGCCTTTATAATAACGTTGTTATCAAAGGGTTGCCTCGTGGAGCTCAGGGCTTTTGGAGACAGTAATTGCGTCCGTTCAGTTATTATTTATTCAAGCCCTCACCTGCCTGGCACATATGTGTAAACACACATGTTGCCCATTGATTCGTATGGCGACGTACAGCCACTCTCCCTTGCTATAATGTATCTTGAATTTAATTGACTGCATTAATTGACTTCCAACTGAGAACTGCGAGGGCGACGGCTGGGACAAAGCCTCCTGGGTAATAGTTAGTCTTCCAGCATCAGCTGCTCGGATGTCAACACACTTGGAGAAGAATGCAAATGCGGGCGGTGTGAAGACTGCAATTACACGTAAGGAGGACTGTTAATTAAGCTCCTGCAGCACGCCCTGATAAGATGGCAGGAACACCAAGACAGTCAAATGTAGGGGTGTCAGGGGCCTCCGGCAGAAAAATTAGCCATCGTGAGCACATGTTTGGTCAGTGTCAGGGCTAGAGGTACGCATTTAAAGCCGTGCTCAGCTGTGGAGTGTGTGGACACACAGCAAACGTGGGATTTTCAGTTGGTGAACAGAGGAGGAGGAAGGAACGCCGTCTGTTTGCTTTGTTAAAAACAACGTTCTCTCTCTAAAGTGCATGAAGTGGAAAGAAAGAGCGAGGAGAATTTTATTTTTTTTTTTTTTTTCCTCTCTTGATAAAACAAGCCGAGCCATTTGAAGTGGATCAAACACAACAGAGCTGAAGCTCAGGCTACTGGGGGTTTCCCTCAGAAAAAGGTCCCCGTCTGTAAAGGTTACAAAAAGTATTTACTGGCATCGAATTTTCACAGTTAATTCTGTTTCATGTTTCGCTTTTTCATCAGCCTACACTGAATTTAGCCTCTTTGCTTTTTTATTCAAACAAGACTTGGGCATCATCAGTGTATGTTATAGATATTAGAAATGGATATTTGTCAGCTGTTTTGTAGCATTTGGAATTACAATGTCGTTGTTTTAGATAACTTAAAACCTCTCTGCTGTTTTTCTAATGATTCTAATGATTAAAAAAACACACATATTAAAGAAATTCAGTTCAAATGAAATTACTTCACATGCATTCAGGTCTGAATGTTGTCAGATATTGTCACTCCGAGGAATGATCACCTAAAAACAGCTCTTAGGTCCTGGAGAGGATGGAGATGAGGGGTCTCCCTCACTGCCTCTGTCTGTAAAACCTCCTTCTGAATTTTGAGCAGTCGTGTGAACCGGCAACCGTGCAACAGAGTGGAGTTACTGGATTCAGGGATGTGGAGGAGGGATGGAGAAGAGCAGGATGGAGCTAGAGAAAGAGTTCCGGTGCCTACCTGAGGTAACGCAGGGGTTCTATGGTTTCGGCCTCTGCCTCAGCCGAGCTGTGGTTCATCTTCTCCATCTGTTTTCACTCAGCGCGAAACGACAAACAGGAGAAAAAAAAGGGGGGCTGAGCCGTGCTCCTTCCACAGAAAAAGCACTTCCGTTCCTTCGACCCCTCCCTCTCCGGGGGCTCTGGCCGCGGCTCCGGGTTGGTTTTTTCTGGTGCTGGTGGGCAGTGGCTGTCCGTCTGAATCTCTCCTCTGTGTGTGTCTCTGGCTCTCTTGCGCGGCTCTCTTCTCTTGATAAGAGCAGCCGGCTCCGCGGATCAGCTGCTCTCTCGGCGGGAACCCAGCCAATTAAGAGCCAGGAGGCGCGCGCCGCGCGGGCTGATTGGCCCACGCGACCAAGCCATCCGAGGTGCAACACCTTCCATCTCCTCCTCACAATCCAACCCCACTCACACTTCTGCACACTTAAAAATTACCTCCTAACGTTGATATTTGATACGGGGCTCGGATAATTTGATAGCCAGACAGAAACAGAGAGAGAGGCTGTCAACTAAACCGACAAAATACTGCGATTTTCCCATTATCAACGGGAGAAATGTACTATTTTAACATTTGAGGTGGGTTTTGAAAACTATGCGGATGCACATTGGGCTGTGAATGTGATGAGAAAAAGCCCACGAGGCGTCAGATGGGTTCCATACATCTCTGATCACAGAGAAACACGCGCACAGAAGAGAGGCGTCACGTTGTATGGCATACAGTGAGAACCAGGGGAAGCCACACGGAATGTTTAGGGAGAGTGGGTGTGCTCTGCCATCTAGGGGTTAGTGGCGGGAAAAAGATCAGACGGTTTGTTTCTCCATAAATACAATCTGAAGAATGCAAGAACCCAGTTTATGAGATCAAAAGAAATAACATTAAATGTAAATGAAATGATAAGACACTACTTTATCACTTTGGGTATCTTGCTGTTCCTCTTGGGTAAAATCTGGAACATTAGTCCATATTTCTTCACATAAACTATACAGAGGCCACAGCTTGGACTTTTTCAGACCAAAATATTAACCAGAATCATGCCTGAACATGTTTAGAACCACTTGTGTGTCCAGAGTTGTTGCCTTACATGAGATGTTGGAAGATGCAGCCTTTACTAGCCAACAAAGATGCAACAAGTCCGGACCATGATACTACCACCACTATACTTCGAAGACAACGTTGGCGATGTTCTGTCTCCATCTGTGCTCATTTGGGTTTCAGCATAAACGGGAATGAACATTCACTTGGAAAATCACTAAAAGTCACGAGCAGACATGGCAAAACACACAATGGGGTCAAAGGTGAATATGACTGGTGCGGTTCTGTTAAACAGCAGCGGTGTGCTGCCATCTGGTGGCGGCTGAGGGTACAGCACGCCGTCAGGCCAGAGCTCAAAGTGTGACTAACGAGATCTGTCCCCTCCGTATCTACAATTAAATGCTTCAGGGTTCGCAAATTAATTCCCCATCATGATCGTGATGATTTATCTTGTTGCATTAAAACGTGTTCAATCAAAAACGCTGAAACACCACTCAGATGTCGACTCGTCCAGTCGGAGGACGCTGCAATTTTCCACTTTACCCCCTCCCCCCCGAATGAACCAGGCAAAGCAGCCAAGAAAGAGGGGTTAAAATTAGTTTATTATTATTTGATAGAGCAGGAAAAAAAATCCCAAAAAACAAACATTTCTCATACATGGCGTTCCATTGCTGCTCGTCCCCCCCCCCCACACACACACACACAAACGGAATGGTGCCAGCAGGC